TTGAACCGCTCGTGGCGCTTTACTACTACTACTACTACTACTACTACTACTACTAGTACTAGTACTAGTACTAGTACTACTACTACTACTACTACTACTACCTAGCAGTAGTAGTAGGAACAGCAGCAGCAGCAGCAGCAGCAGCAGGCTGGGGTTGCAGTGGCCGTGGCGACAGCGCTTGTACTTTACGTGCTGTAGAACTGCTTGTTCAGAGCTGTGCTTTCCACCCCATCTCTTTCTGGTCACAGTCAAGGCGCAGCCGTTGTCGGGTACAGTTAAAGCCATGCTTGAACCTGACTTGGTGTGGTCGATCTTCAGTCAGCTGCAAGACGGATTTTGCTACACTCGATGCAGCATCAGTGGCCATTTCCAGCCGTTTTGCAAGGCCCAACCTCAGAAACTTGCTGCTATTAGTAGCTATCCAACTACAGAAGCAAACTTCGCATCGCAGATGTGATCGGAGAACCTAGGCTTCGAGCTGATGTTCTCCCAGCAGCGGATCAGGCCTGTCGTCAGAAGGCACACACTCAACCTGGCAAAGCTAAAGAGTTGCCTGGCCTTGCTTGGTTGCTTCCTCAGATGTCAGGCGAACTGGATTGGCAAGCCGCGTGCATTGGCAACGGCAAAGAATCAAAACATGGTTCATGTCGAACATCACCGGCGTGGGAAGACCGACTACACCTCAAGATGACACTTGCAGGATCTTGCAGGCATTGCTGGGTCCATGATTATAAGGGCAAGCAGCGGCCAACTCACCTGAGCTCAGCTGACTGCTGAAGGATCAGTCCCGCTTCATGAACTGAGGCATGCACAGAGTTTCTGGCCCAGCCTGGCAGAACTCAATCAGGAGCTGTGTGCTTTAACCAAGCGTCGCTAACTTTCTCTCGGCACACCATCGCCCCATCTCGCCGAAGGAGTGCTTGGAGCAGTCGACCGAAGGAGGCACCTGCCAAAAGCTCTCGGAGCCTTAGGGCCTTAGGGGCCTTAGGGTTGGGGGGCCACAGCCACAGCCCGTGCCTTGTCTGTGGGCCCCGGCGCAGGGCCGAAGAGCGTTGGGCCGACGGCCTCAAAGGCGCCGCCATGGGCCGGCGCAGCATCTTCGCTTCTCCCGAGGCGCCTCTCGCTCCGCCCCACCCGCCAGAACGAAGATGTTCCAGAACAGCACCTTCCGCTGACACAAGAATGCTTTTGCAGACGGAAGTTCGGGCACCGTCGCTGTCAAAATAATGGAGGTGGCACAATCACACCGTCAAAGATCGGACGAAAGTTTGGGGACCAGCGATGAATCAGCACCTTGCCCGTGCCGGCGAACAAGCAGCACTTGCCGGCCCAGCATTGGATGTCACACAGACGCTTGGTTTAGGGCGTAGTTCACTGCCTGGCTTGGCGGCCAGAACACCGCGGAATGCAGATAGTCTCCTCGTCGTGGCCGCACAAGACAAGCCCATGGGTCATTGGGCGGAGAATTAATGTGGACTATTATTAGAACAATCATGGCAAGAATCAGAAACAAGCATCAATGAGCCAAGGATATCGGCGAAGCTCGCTTGACTTGCCAACAATAAACACTACACTATAAGATCTAGAAGCAGGTTGGATTGCCGATCCAGGCTTGCCTAACAAGAGCAGCGAGAAGCCCCATGCAGGGCATCTCGAAGACTCTGACGGTGCAGCTTGTCCTGGCCACAACTCCACGGCCTGGCCGATGCTGCTCCTGCGCCGGTGCCATTGGTTTACCTAAGACACCGCCCAGTCTCGCGGGGCAATTCTGCAGCGCTCCCCAGGTTCCAGGGAAGCCCGGCCACTGCGGAGGGACCTCTGCAAAGAGGCAGAGTAGGAAGGATCTCTCCAAAAGCACTTGAAGCCTCATCCTAATCATGTGTAGCGTGGTCTTCCCCAGTCAAGGAGCCGCAGTTGTCAGTCGAGTCCGCAAAGCTCCGGAACACGAAACAGATGGACAAGGCCTGGGAAAGCTGGAATCTATGGTGGCTACAAACGCAAAGCTGCCAAGCAATCACGCAGTCCTGCTGCCCAGACACATAAAGGAGGACCCCGAGGGGCAAGTATCCGAAGGTGAAGGCTGCCTGCATCTTCAGGGCCTTAAGCAAGGCCTGAGCAGGGTTGGGTTTTAAAGCGGCTCATCTCGAGGCCTAATAAAATCAAGTCACAGCTTGCCACGTTGTGGCAGTCCCGAAGCGCAGATCACCTGAGCGGACGGGGGGAAAGGGGGGGGGGTGCCGGGGATGGCCGGGGTGCTGGCAGTGCTCGTAGAAGCGGCCGAGGATTGCCACCTCCAGTTTGGAGGCCCAGGAGGCCCACAGCACCGCAGCCCGCACAAACACAACGGCCCTTTGCCTGGAAGAGGCATGCGCAGGACACGATGGCAAGCGTGTACCGCCAGTCCCAGCCACCGATCTTGAACCCATCCTGAGGAGAACGGCTTGAAAGCGGCACCGGCAGGGCCTGCAACATCCTGCAACCGCGGCACTTGCAGATTGGACTTCTCGTGGTAGGATGGCACACGCTGTGCGAGCAGATCAGCGAGGCCAAACCTGAATCTGCTTTGAAGGGCGAGAACGACGGGCGATTTGCGCCAAGTGCCAGCGAGCAACAGGCAAGCAGTCCACGACCTAAGTGCAGCTTCGGTGCGACCAGCAACGAGACTGACCATTCCGCCAAGTCACGTCTGTGTGAAGACCTTGTCCTGGCAGGACTCGGCTCATTTCCGCTCTCCCGCTCCCGAGCAAGGTCTGGCCTTGTAGAGCTTCAGGGCAACCTCGGGGACACGAGGCTCGGCACAAATCACCTCGAGCAGTGGTAAGCTTCCGGCCATCTTCAACAGCTTGCTCGCGTCCATGGAGCGCTCATCCCTCTTCAGCAGGAAGAAGACCCCATAGCCTCGCAATCGATGAAGTGCTCCCTTTCGAGTAGCGGTACGCTCGGTGGCCAAGCCTCCCGCCGCAAGGGCAGCAAGCACTGCCCAGAAGCGAGCCTTTCCAAGAAAAGGCTAAAGCCGCAAGAGAAGCAGCCGGTACATCTTCATATCATGAATGGCTGAAGGGTCAGAAATGTCTATGTGCGCGAAAGAGCGGCCACCAACTTGAGCTCTTTCTTCCTTTCCTGCCATTGGCCCGCTTGCGGCCCCGACCTCTGCTCTTCAGGCTTCTCCCCTTCCACCGCCGCTTTTTCCGCTGCTCCGAGGCCCGGGCGCCTCGGGCGCCTCGGGCGCCTGGGGCTCGGCCCTCGTGAGGGCCAGGCCTCGAAAGAGCGGAGTTTTGCTGGTGCGCTTTGCCAACGAAAGCCAGAGCTCTCCGCCGGTGTTACGACTCAGGGGCTTCCGGCTTCGTCTAAGCCAAGTACTGCCCGCCCCGACCGAATTCTCGCTGCTCGGCCGTACGGCACCTCAAAACCGGGCAGGTTTGGCGTGCACTGTGCGAAGAGCCAAAGAGGACCTGCGACACAGAGAGCGGCCAGCAGTCGCCAATCGATCTGAGTTCGGAAGCTACATGCGTAAAGACAGGTGCAACATGACGCTCAAGGGCCTGCAGCAATGCCCCCGCGCTGAGCCCTAGACGCGCATGCACGAGCGGCTCACGAGTGTCGGACCAGCGTGGCCACAAGCGTGGCCAGTGGCCCAGCGCTGGCCCAGTGCCGGCCTTCGACGGAGGGAAGGCAAGATGGGCATGCGCTGATTTTGCGTCATCGAGATGCAGTCCCCGTGCTCACATGTTCACTCAAACTGCTCTGAGGAGGAGTGCCTTTACCTCATGCCGACTGTAGCATGAAGGTGGATTTTCCTGAAGAAGAAGTGTCTTCCAAACTCTCGGTGTCGATCGAAACTCAAAGGCAAAACGGCATGACTGCTTCTCTCAGGCCCAAGCCAGACATCCTCGCTGTTGGGCGGGTATCCAGCTCGAGCCGACGCGCCACAGCGGAGCAGAACCGCCGAATCAACTTTTGGCACGAAGCTAGGCCCTCAAAATATGAAAGCTCCCGGAGTTTGTGCCTGTGGCCAAAGAGCTGAATACCTTTTCAAGACGCCGTTTTATGGAGTGACAGCTCGGATGGTGGTTGTCCCAGCTCGTGCGTCACTGGTGTGGGACACCTTGCCGTCCAACAGTGTGCTCTGTATATCCAGGCATTGCACTATATGGGGAAAGCCGCCAGGCTTCCCGACTCTGCCGAGGACCGCTCTGCCGAGCAAAATTCCACCCAACACGTAGGACACGTAGAACCCTTCTGCTCCTGTGCCGGTCCTCGGCCCTCAAACTGAACAGGTCACTTCAGGATGGCCAGGTCCAACAGATCACCTGCAGCACAGAAACGTTCGAGTTGTGGCATCAATACGCACCTGCTTCTCCTCTCTCCGCAGCCTGTTTGGAACTTCGACGACGACAGCGCCTCAACAGTAAGCAAGCTGGTCTGGTAGTTCGCATCCCTCTACATGCCATTTGGGAAGTTCTATGATGCGTCCAGCTGGACTCCATCCAAAAAGATAGGCCCACGAACACAACGCCCAAAGAGCAGACGAAGCAAAGGCCAGGCCTTGTCATCATCGGGACCGCGTCGCGCGCAGGTGACCGTGCCCAGGTTGGTGCTAACGTTCTTTCCAGTCTTGTCCTTCGCGGCCGGGGTTTCAGGCACCGTTCTGTGGCTCAGAGGCTAAGGCGCTAAGCGTGCTGTTGTTGTTGAAGCTGCTTAGTTGCTGGTTTGCAGACAGTTTCAGGCAGTGCTATTGTCTTCGCTCTTCACAACTCGACTGGACTCGCGGCGCCTTTGTGGTAGAGCTTCTGTTTTTCGAGCATGGCTTTGGAATGCTTGGGCTCCGGCAGGGTAGATCAGGTTGAAGGCCAGCCTCACCTTGGGGTCCCGCGCCTCTGGTGCCACGTCCTTGATCAGGTCCGCTAACCTGGAGCCACAAGACATGCTTCTGACTCGGCGAGGTTCTGGATGTATCTGGTCCCAAGATTGTTCGCCTTGACCCCACACATCCCTAAACCCCAAATCTGAAGCATGTCAGGCTCTCAAGCCATCAGCCAAAACACTCTCGAAGTGTCACGTCTGGCCAGGCATACACCTGCCATCAGTTGGGCCGTTTGCAAAGCCGTGTGTCTAAACGGTTCTGACAAAACTCGGAGAGCAAAGCAGGGCCTGCAGCTCGTCATGGACCGGTTCCTTGCCGCGCTCCGTGAACGCCTGCCCGTGGCTCCCCCGCAAGCAACCTCTACTTCCTGGTGCACTGCTGACAAGACCAGCACAGGCAGAAACACACTGGACATGGACACGCAGCCCAGCCTGAATGCCGTGATGCTCGCCTAACAGGGTCAGTCTCTGCGTGCCGTGCAACCCCCCGTGCCGTGGGAACAGCTTTCTTTCTCTGCTGAGTCTCGAACTGCGATTGCTGCAACTGGTGCACACAGCAGAATTCAAGCAAAATGAGATCTGGCCTATTTTCCGGAAGATCCGAAGCCTCGGCAGCTGCAGTTCACAAGGGACGGAAAGACTCTGAGCTGTGCCGCCCCGAGAGTCTGACAGGAAAGGACATGTACGCGAGCGATCCAATGTCTTTCGCGGAGGTGGAAGGATCGCCTGTTTGCCACGGCCTCCATATGTGCAACATTGTGCAACTGTGAAAAACTCCCGACTTCGACTGCTCAGGCAAGTTGGCGGCCTTTAGCAGGTGCCTCGCCATAGGGTGCCGCGCGCTCTCCAGTGCGCTCCGTGCGAGCCGCCGATGCCACGGAAGCTGCCATGGCGCCAGTGAAATTCCTCAGAGCCCCGGCTGCCTGGCCTGGCAGTCACAGGCGCTCTCGCAAATTGTCTCCTACGGGGACTCCCAACAACTACTGCTCGATTTGCCTTTATCGCGATCACGATCACGGTCTCGGTCCCGGTCGCGATCGCGGTCTCGGTCGCGGTCCTCCTTGCTTCAGAGATCAACATCAAGCTGGCGGCGGACATTAGCTTTTGAAGCCCAGTTTGAAACCACGGCTTGGCAGTGACAACCGACACGACTTGACACTCCGTCCATTCCGAAAAAAGCTTCGACTGGCCCCGTCCATGGCCTTCTCGTGGCGCTCCTCCCGATCACGCTTGTCGCCACGTCGTTCTTTTCGCTCCTATGGCTGTGGTGGATGTTAGCGAGCGCTGCACAGCACAAATCCTATCTTGCAGACCAATTTCCGCAAGCCCTGAAATTCATGTTCAAGAGAAACATGGCATCGCGACAAGAGTGAACAAAGGCTTAACCAAAGGGGAAAACACTTTGGTGATCTTCCGAGGGTGACATCTGCTGTGTCACCCCTGCATGTTCGAGTTTGTGGGTGTCGCTCCTCTTGCTCCTCGCTCTCGCTGTCATCGGACCCCATGGCTTCTTCTCGCAGTCAGGTTAAAGTAGAACTCATGCAGTTACAGCGGACGGTGTCGTTGCGCGATTCATGCATTTTTGGCATCCAGGATCACATGGCCTTTGGGAGCAAAGGGCAGAGCAGCAACGCTTGAGTTCCTCCGACGTGTAGTTTCTGCGTGCGTCCCTATCACATCACGCGGCAGAGAGATAAGTGACATTTCGTCTACCACTGAGCATGACCGGCGATCTCATGGAGATGCTGGCAAAACTCGACAGCTCTGCTTGCCGCCTTGCCCTGTACAAAGGCCACGCCAATGGCAGTCATTAACAAAGCACGAGGCTAGCAAAAGCCAGTCTCATCGTCAGGGTCAACCTCGCGGTTGTTCTTATTTTTCGCCTCCTCGGACGTGGATTGCAGGGGAGTCCACAAGCCAATGGCAGCTAAGAACAGTGATTCCGACATGGTGTTGAAGGCCCCACTCTGCAGAGCGGCATCGTGACCAAGACCCAACAGCGGCAGAGGAAGATCCTCCTCAGTTAATTTCCTGGCAGGGAGAGATCAAGCTGCGCCCCGAGTTACAGCACGCAGCCAGCTGGATCCTGCAACGATCGCCCACGTCGTGGAGAGCAACCTTTACATCCTGGCAGGGGTGGAAAAACTTCCAACCGTCCGGTCACCTACTGTGTAACACTACTCTGCTTCATGCGGTGGCAGGGGCATCCGGCAGACAAACAGCCCACATTGCCTGCACGGCATCTTCTACAGCTTCTTCACGATCAGTCACGATATCCTGCACCACCTCTTGCATTCATACTCGAGGTTATTCCGATCTGTCGTCGTGCTCGAAACTCGTCGCGCTCGTGGGTATTTAAGCATATGTAAGTTTTTCCAAGCCACATCGCGGTAAATCCAAAGACAGGTCTTGGGCGAAAACAGCTCGGCAATTGCACTTCACTTGGCCTGTCACATGCAGTTTTCCGGCCAAGCAACGACGAGCAACACAACGACGACCAGAAAGATACCTGAAGTCAGGGCTTGGGAGGGGATCGGAGCCTGGGTTTGGAAAAACAGGTGGAGCTGCAACATGGGGCAGCTGAGAACCCCGCACAAGCGAAGTTCTGAAGACTCCTGATTGAGGCTTTCAGTCGCAAGCATCCCATGTCAAACTCTTTCCCATCTGCAACGAGCCATTCGACAAGAAACTGCGGACTTGCAACCGCGACTCCCACCAGTGAACTTGGTCGCGAAAATCCCATTCAGACCACAACTGTTTGCAGTAGGCCATGGTCTTTTCATCTGCCTGGTCACTGAACCAAGCAGGGGGAAATCTTGCTTGATTCTTCTTGAATGCCAGTGCCTGAGCCTCGAAGAAATCTCGAAGCACCGCGCCCTTGTTCACCCGCAGAACATCCCTCGGCTCACGCGAACCCTTCAAAGACAAAGACCCGGCATCTTCCTTCTGCCAGGTGGCTCGCATTCCTCTGTCGATGCCTTTAGAGAGTTATAGCACCCGCAGCGGCTGATGAGCGAACTCCTGAGAAGGGGGCTCTCTCAGCACATGTCACTACCACAACATGCAACAATTGCATGCACACCTGAGACATGGGCGTTTCGTCAGTGTCAGTCAAGGAGGCGCGCGCCAAACAACTGACGAAGAGAGAGGAGCACGAAAGAGAACACTCTGGGTTCCCTTCTGAGTACATCGTCTCTCACGTGAAGTTCCAGGAACCGTGCTCGAACAGCTTGGTGGTGGCTTCAGTGACTTTTGTTGAGCATGTCTCCGTGCCTTGGATCCTCCCGCATCTGAGAACAAACTGACAGAGAGCAAAGGTACATGTAACTCGACAGAATACAGCGCCAACTGCATGTGGCGACTGAAGCTGCCCAGGCCCGACCGCACTGGTGGACCGAATGCAGGTGGCAGCGGCGGAGTCGCGGACATCGCCCGATCTTCCGGTATTCCAGTTGCAACACACTGTCTCCAAAAGCTGTACCACAGTCGACGGTGCCATGGAGGGGCCGGTATGCTGCAACAAATCTTGATGGCAAAAGTACGGTCAGTGCTCATGGACTTGATTCAGACATTGAGGAGTGATGGCTGGCTATGCATGCTATGCAAGCAGCACATAGAAACCGATTCAACCAGCAAAGAACGAGCAGAAATTGAGGTCCCACTGGCAGAGGACGTCTTTGTCCAGGATGCACACGAATCACGGCCAAGCAAACATTGGGGTCGGAGCCGACCCAGCCCGGCAGGGGGTCCGGTTCAAACACCTGCAAACCTGATCTGTAGAACACTTTGTGTGCTTGCAGTATGCAAGACTTCAGCTTCAGAAGAAGTCGACGACGACGTCTCCTCCTCCAAGGCTTAATCACTTGAGGGGAGAGATAGCGAACTTCGATTCGTGAAACAAGTACGGTCGACACAGCCTGTGTCTTATGCATACAAGCTGGATCTTTATCTGTCCTGAGGGCTTCTCGTTGAGTTTGGCCGCTTCGCGCTCGTCGCCCGAGTCCATCCAAGCAGCTTCAAACTTGTCATCTGTGCACAGGAGGGGATTTGACGGGTTGAAGCTGTCCCGCAACATCTTTGCGAGGATCCCCCAAAACCCAAGGAGCCCTAACTCAAAAAAAACATGAAAACCCGCAGACAGACAGAGCCGCCTTCAGGATCCTCCGAAGGGCTGCTCGGAGCCTTGTGGCTTCGAGATCTGCCCGAGAGGTCGCTTGTCTCCGGACTGAGCCATGGACGACAACGGGCGAGGGGCTCCGGTTCCTCTTTGTGCGAGAGGCACCAGGCTCTATCCGAATCGGAGCTGATGTCTGGCCTCAGAACTGACGCTCGGGAGACAGTGCCACAAGCCGTGCTAGAAAAGGAAGGCTCGTCTTAGACTCCTAGATCTGATCAGGGCCCCGACCCACAGCGCAGGAGCCCAACGCCTGCACGGCAGCTTCAAGTACCGCTTCCTTGCAATTACCCAGGGGGGGATGCCATGGGGAGCGCCTTCTCCACAATCTCTTTGGCCTCTTCGTCCGTTCGCTGGACACCCTCGAGAGCATGGCGACAGTGGATGACACTATCCCGCAGTGCAAGGTGCACAAAGCCGATTACCAGCAAAAGGGACGATTGGGGCAAAGGGCTTGCGCGATCTTGACAAAGCGAAACAAGCCTAATGCTCCCACTGTGCACCCTACTAATAGCGTTCACGAAGAGTCGACAACATGATGCGACTGTACTACTTTGGCGCCGTCAGCACGTGCCTGCCATCTCTTCATGCCACCATGACGCTTGCTCGGCCTTGGCACATGCTGGCAAATGCGTGACGAACCATCCATTTTTCAAATCAAACAGCGCACAGTGCACACTTGGGCCATTGCTTGCACTGCTGGGAGCTGCTGTTCAGCGTTGTCACGGGTCCCGTGTTCCCAGCAGGTTTCTTGGCCTTGTTGGTCATGCCAAGCCTGTGCCGGGAACGCGATGCATTCGAGTGTGTGTGCTTTGTGTGTGGCGTCTTTGCGATCGCTGGAGAGTCGCAGCCGGCTTGAGGGACATTTTGCCATGCACGGTGAACCAGTTCAGCAAAGGTCTAACGAGGCAAGCTCGTGGCTATGGTGTTGCAGCACTTTGGCCTGTTCTTGAAGCTCCTTTCTGCGAGCAGATGTCAATCTCACTGTACACTGAGAGGCACACAGGAGCCTTTCTCAGCTTGGAAACGTCATGCGACGTCCATTGCATGTAGTGCTGGCTAAAACTAAGAAGCCCTCAGGCACCGAAACCTGCTGGAGACTGAGCCTTTCTCCACTTGCGTTCCAGCTTGGCCAGAAGCTCCTCATGCCGTCAGGCAGGCAAGGTGAGGAGAAGCCATCAATGACAGCCCAACAGAAAAACAACCAAGTGACCGGAAAGTCACCAATGGGGTCAATGATCGGACGACAGCGCTTTGCCTCAATTGCAGCACTTTTCAGCATCACGGAACACATGGATTTTGCAAAGTCGATAGGTGCTATTAGCACGATATTGTCGCAGTAAACATTGCGAAGCTGCAGCCGGAACTGCTTCTTTGGCGCTAAGCCCTGCGAAGTGCATCAAGCAGATGCAGCCTGACTTTCTTGCAACTGATGGGGTCTCGATGCAGCACAAGTTTGAAGCTTTGATGTGCCTGTTTTGAACTCCAACTCAGCCCAAAGAAAGGCCAAAGGCGACAGAACAGTCCTTCAAGGACGCTCACAGACCCGAGCCACCTGTAGTTCCTGCCCGATGAGCGCCGGCCAAACAGTGGACCATCACATTCCTTCCACTGGCCAACGCAGCACCTGCAGCGCAGCACTCTTGGAGGACTGCGAGGCTTGCAGAAATCATGCGACGGTTTAAGAAACAAAGCAAGCTCCGGCACCAACCCAATCCAGCATCGGCTGAACAAATCGCGCTGCATCAGCATCAGTTTTGACCAGCCGGTGGAAGCCAGAAATGTCAAATCTGAAATACGTGATAGGGCTGCCGGGAGTGTTCTCATGGTAGTTGGGCATATTGTCCGTACAGTTCACAACATGTGTTACTCCGTTCTTCTGCAGCAAGGACAGGTTTGAAGCAGCAGTCTGGTTGCCCACATAGAAGACAGCTCGTGTTTCGGGATGTTGCCACAAGGCGTCCATCGCATTGTACGGACCATTCGATATGATCGAAGGATCCAAGTTTATGCGCGCCCAAAGCTTCCTCGCCTCGCAAGACACACATCTCATCAGGCATCATATTTTGCGCTTCGAGAAACATAAACTCACGCAGCCATCCGCATGCCTCCTCGTCGAAATCCATGCCAGTGCCCGTGGTAGTTGCGGCGTAACCGGTCAACCTCGACTTGCCTGGAACGGCCTCCAAGGGACTCTGTTACAGCAGCGAAGACAGAGAGAGAGAGAGAGAGAGGTAGAGAGAGAGAGAGAGAGAAATATCAGAAAATCAAAGTAGAAGCAGGCACCTTCCCGCTCAAGAGATCCTCCAAACTGTCTCCAGAGCCTACTTTGGACCAAAGGGCAGCACCGGCTTCTCGCCCTCTGCTCGAGCTTCGGCCCCCGACCATTGCACGGCCGACCGCCGCCGCCGTGGTCCGGATGTCCATGCGGCCCCCACGACCGCGGCTGGAAGCACGAGGACCAACAGCTCCAGGGCCCAAGGGGGCGGAAGCATGGCCCGCTCTCAGGCTCATAATGAGCACAAGTCAGAAAAATGCGGAACTGCTTACTATCTGAATGTGCGGCTGTGGAGACTTCAAACGTTCATGCAAAACTTGAGTGCCCCGGAGTGCCCTTGACAATGCCGGCAGAGCATAGCATTCAGAAAAAAGTGATTGCTCAACAAAGACATCCGTTTTCTGGAAATCGCCAGGGGCAGTGCTCGTCAGCCACTTTGCGCTCCAAACGCCGTCGCTCCTGCAAGGCCTGCTGATGCGGAGAAAAGGGAGACTCCGACGTCTAGGAAGTCGCAAGAATCGACAGAATCTTCCTACGCACGTGCGATTAGGATCGGTGTTTCAGGACTGTAATGGCGACACAGAATCTTCAAGCCTCTCCACATTCCCCTTCCCCGGACGCTGCCATGAGGCATATCGGATCCAGGCTTTGACCCAGCTGCCCTAGAGTACAGCAGAACCAGAATCGTCCTTCCCTGCCTCAAGCGCCTTTTCAGATGCATCTGCAGTGCCACGGCCACGTGGCTTGGCAGCCTCCAGTCGCGGGTCCTGGCACACTCGGAACTGATGCGACAAAGTCTGAGTCTGCCGAGCCCAAGCCTCGCCGCTCTTCGGCGCTTTGAGGAGCTGCTTGGCGCTTTCAGAAAGGCCCGGGGCGTCCTGAGAATGAGGGTCTTTCCAGCCACAGGATATTCGTCACTCGTGGACGTCCTCCTTTGCCCGCTTTTTTCGAACCCAGAGGCCCTTCTCATTCAGCTCCAAAGACTGTCAAGAGTCCAAGGTGGTCATTGGCTTTGACAAAGCACAACTCCCAGCTCCCTCTGCAAGTACTGTCGGCTGCACTTGATCCACTTCGCCACGTTGCAAAGTCAGAAGGCCGCTATCCTGCCCGAGCAGTGCATGCACAGCATCCAGCATGATACTACACTATGAGAAGACCTCTTATGGATCGCTGGAACTAACCGGCGTATATAGATCACGCAAACTAACCGGATCCCGCAGAACTGACGGCCGCGAGTGACGTTCCAAGCTGACCTTATCCTTCTGAGCATGCGAAGAAATTTGCACCGCTGGCCTCCTGTTTACCACCAAATGTGCCTTTCGCACCCCAAAACACTTCGCCGGGCTTGTACTTCCGTTCTAAGCGGCCAGGGCATGAAAAAAAACCGACTTTCACTGTCATGCGGTTCAGGGAGCATCTCCAAGGCCCGGGCTGTCTTGGTCGCGAGTCTGTTCTGGATTCGACCAAACACCGGTTTCCTTGCCTGCCACATCGTCTGTGAAAGGGGGGGACTCCTAGCTCAGATGAACGGCCACACAACACGACGCTGAGAGTTGGAAACTGCATGCAAGCGGGCCCCATGTTTGCGCTTTGTCGAAAACCTCGCGCTTCTTCTTCCAAAGCCTGCGGAAGCTGTTGAGGCGACAAGCTCATTACGATGGACGGTGCCAAATTCGCAACTTAGACTCTGGCTTGTTTTCATCCTGGTACAACTCTTCCGACCGTCTTGCAATCCTGACCATCGCACAGCAATGGACCGAAAACTAGTCTCAAACCCATAAACAAGTTTGAGGTCTGGACGGATTTAAGTCTTCCTTCTTCTCCTTCGGGTTGTTCAGATCCTGGCTGCAGAATACCCGACAGCCTCCAACTACCGCGTGCACCGTGCAGATGTGCACATACAAAGTACTGCATACAGTTTGCCCACCTTCGGAAGCAATGCAAAAGGCGTGTCAAATTGACGGTGCTTGCGAAGAG